GACCAGTCGTTTTGAGTCAAAGAAGCAGCGAGCGCAGCTTTGAGTTGTCGATGAAGTCGTTCAACCATACCGTTGGAACTAGGATGGTACGCGGTCGTTCGTATTCGTTTAATGCCCAGTAATTCAGTTAGCTGGTGGAAAAATCGGCTTTCAAGCTGAGCACCTCTGTCTGTAGTGATAATGGATGGAACACCAAAGTTAGCTATCCAGTTTTCGACCAAAGCTTTAGCTACCGTTTCAGCGGAGACGTCGGCTATTGGAACTGCTACAGGCCAACGAGTGAATCTATCGATGCAAGTTAGAATATAGTTGAAACCATTGGAAGGAGGTAGTGGACCAACTATGTCTACATGTATATGTTCAAATCTAGAGTCAGGGTTAGGAAAGCGACCAAGTGGTGCATTAGTATGACGGTTGATTTTGACTCTTTGACAAGACAAGCAATTTCGTGTCCACTTCTTAACATCGCTATTAATGTTCGGCCATATAAATCTTTCCTTTATTAGTTTGATAGTAGCGCTGACACCGGGATGAGACAAGTTATGTAACTTCTCGAATACTGTATGTCTCATAGCTGCTGGAACGAAGGGTCGATATTTACCCGTAGAGGTGTCGCAGATTATTTTTGTCGTGCCAAAAGGAATTGCGTCTAGCTTTAAAGATGTTGTTTTAGAAGACATGATCTTTTTAAGTTCGGCATCATCTCGTTGTAAGTTTGAGAGACGTTCGTAGTCGATGTCTGGGCATACAATGTTGTCAATGTGCACACGTGATAAAGCGTCTGCCACTTCATTGTTTTTACCCTTTACATGTCGCAGATCGGAGGTGAACTGAGATATAAACTCGAGGTGTCGTAGTTCACGCGGAGAGTAGTTATCCTGTTTTGCTGATAAGGCTTTCGTTAGAGCTTTATGGTCTGTAAAGACAGTAAAAGCTGTACCTTCCAGCATATGTCGAAAGTGCTTGATTGCTAAATAAACAGCCAATAACTCTCTACCAAAAGTGCTATAGCGGCATTGAGTAGGATTCAGTCGTTTCGAAAAGAATGCAAGAGGTTGCCATTCGCCGTGTACCTGTTGTTGTAAAACTGCCCCAATGGCAACGTTTGAAGCGTCAGTCATGAGAGACAGGGGGGAGTCATTTTGGCGTCTGACTAAGAGTGTCTTGTCATTTAACAATTGTTTGACATTTTCGAATGCTTTAACAGCTTCTGCGGGCAAATGGAATGAACGACTATGTCCACGTAAGCAATCGGTTAATGGTTGTAAAGCTTTGGCACAGTTCGGGATAAAACGCCGGTAAAAATTAACGAGACCCAAAAATCGCCGTAATTTCTTAAGAGAATCTGGTAATGGATAATCTTCGATAGCTTGTACGTCATCAGGGACTGGTCTGATTCCTTGGCTATCGATTAAATGACCGAGGAATTTCAGTGAGGTCTTACCAAATTCGCACTTGTCTAAGTTGATAGTCATGCCGTATTGATGTAGTCTTTCAAACACAGTCTTCACATGTTTCAAATGCTCGGCTTCGTCTGCACTCGCAATTAGTAAGTCGTCGATGTATGCGTAGACGAAAGGGAGACCACGGAGTACTTGGTCGATTAGGCGTTGAAATGTCTGAGCGGCGTTCATTAGTCCGAACGGCATGCGTACGAATTCGTATAAGCCAAATGGTGTGGTAATGGCGGTTTTCGGAACGTCATCCGGGTGGATGGGGATATGATGATACGCTCGGACAAGATCGATTTTAGAGAAAAGTTTAACATCTGGTAAGTTGCTAGCGAAATCGTGGATATGTGGTATTGGGTATCTATCAGGTACCGTTTGCTTGTTTAAAGCTCGATAATCACCACACGGCCGTATCTCACCAGAAGACTTTTTGGGTACCATGTGAAGCGGTGAAGACCAAGAGCTGTTGGACGGTCGAATAATACCAAGCTCTAGCATTTTATCGAACTCTGTTTTGGCGATTTAAAGTCGATGTGGGTCAAGGCGTCGTGGACGTGCAAAAACTGGTGGTCCAGTGGTTTTAATATGATGAACCACATGATGCTTCGGTTCTGTTCCTCGAAAAGAAGGTTGTAAAAGGTCAGGAAACTGATTTACCAAATTGGTATATGGAGATGCTGGTGTGCGTGTGACCATCAAGTTCAGTGATGATGCACGGCTAATCGTACCAGCAATGTACGTTTTATTGAGCGAATCTATTAGCTTGGGGCTTATCGGATCAACTAACAGTTTGTGTTGCTGTAGAAAATCGACACCGAGGATTGGGGATGGGACGTCTGCAATGATGAAAGACCAAGTGTAGGTATTCCGCAAACCAAAATCCAAAGTCATTCGTTTACTTCCATATGTAACAATACTGGACTGATTAACAGCTTGGAGCGTAACTGCTGGGTCAGGATGTTGACGTTCCTGTGTAGACGGAGGGAGAACACTCACCTCTGCTCCTGTGTCAACTAAGAATGTAGTACCGGTATTTTCATCTGTTACATAAAACAAACGACTGTTAGATTGTAGATTGCCAACAGTATTTTTTACACATGACGATATATCTTTTGGTTTAGCCTGAAAGTTACAAGGTGAACGGCACCGTCGTGCACTGCTTCCATATTTACGGTGATACCAGCAAATATTATCGTGATGTCGTGACGTGCTAGGGGATCGAGAAAGACGTCGACGAGACGAGCTTCTAGAACGGCTTGGTTGTGTGCGTGTGGTCAGTTTTGCTAACTGACTCAGTAAGGTGTCGACTTTGTGTTCTAGAGTCTGTATTCTATCATGAGTGTCTGGTATTCTGCTAGTGGAAGCGACAGATTGAGGTGTTGACCTCTCGTACATGCGATCCGCGATTTCGGTGAGCCTTTCTATGTCAATGTCGTCATCTCCGAAAGCAAGAACCTGCTGGATGTTTGCGGGAAGTCGTCTTAGCCATATTTGGTAAAAGAGACGTTTATCGATTTCTCTTCCGGCAACTAGGCTTTGCATATGCCTCATGAGTTGCGATGGGGTTTTATCACCTAACTCAACATTGCTTAACAGGCGATCGAGTGCTTGCCTATCCGAAAGCGAAGTGCATCGGAGTACCTCTTCCATCAACTTGTCGTAAGGCGCTTCTGTGCTGGGTTGAACGATGTATTGCCGTACCTGCTCAGCGACTTCGTCTGGTAGTACTGTACTCAAAATGCCAAATTTAGCTGTCTGTGACGTGAGCTTATTGCTAGCCAAATAATGTTCCAGTCGAGCAAACCAAAGGTGAGGGTCTCTGGGCTTAAAATCTGGTACAGTAAGAGAAATAGTACTAACAGATCCCAGCTCTAAGTTATCAGAGGTATTGGAAGACATGTTACAATCCGTAAAAAAATGGTTTAAGAGTAGCAAAATAGCAAAATTTGTGCACAATAAGAATATGGCAAAACAGAAAAACATGCAATGCAGATGCTTACCACAAATTACTGCAGGTTGTGCTATGAGCAAACACAAGAATGAGTTCGAATTGTTTAATAAATATATAAATCCGCGAAAGTTAGAGTTTTAATAATCCAGCAAGTGTACGACGCGTCGAGGTCAAAAAGTCGTCGGGGTCGGAGTCAGCAATTTGTCGTCGGGGTCAACAGATCACGTCGGGCTCACCAAATTGTTGCGTGTTCTATTTGACTAAACTAGCGTACACGTATTTCCTAGTACTTCTTCACGTTTATCAATGTGCGCAGACGTTGTGGCTACTCGACGCCCACAACGTAAAATCAGAAGGCACTTGTGAAGAGTGTAATCGTGTATTATAGCCGTAGTCAAATTTCAAAATTGTATCAAGGTAACGTTCAACAGTAAATTGACAAATGTTTACGAAGTACATATAAAATCGGTATGTGTAAACATATAATATGAGTATGCAAATTAGATTAAAAACGTATGTTTATAGTTGGTATAGGGGTACTACAAGTTCATTGACCATCCAGACACCGGGACGGAATCGAATTGCCTGTAAATTCTAACCGCTGTTAATTCACGTTATGGAATGAGACAGCCGGCGACTGTTGTCGCTTAGTATTTGTCTACGCATCTGTCTTGATGGACCCTGCTGGTCACTAATTCTCACTAGAATTTCAGGCGACTACACCGTGTTGTCAGTCATCAGTAAACACCAGATTCTTCAGTGTTAGTTTCTGGAGTGGATGGGAAATTTGACTGATTTCAATTTTGGTTATAAAGAGTCCTAAACAAGGACGAAACATTGCTGTCTGATACTCCCAGCTGGTTCTCAGTGGTTCACTAACTGCTGTGTCCATTCGTGATCAAACTTAAAACGCCTTATGACCCTAAGACCTTCAGATCTTGACTTGGATGCTTGCTTGGTAGTGGATGAATGTACCGTGGTGAGACGAAGTCTCTATGATATGCTCTACGATTTTTAGTAGGATTCTAACGGATACTGATTGATTCATGAGATCTGTACTGAACACACACACACACACACAGTGGTCACGAAGATGCATCAAGTATGATTTGAAAAAAAAAGAAAACCCTGTTTTGGTTTTTACCCACAACCCCTGATTGCATTTTATTTTGATGAAAAAATAAACAAAATAAAAAATCTGAGCTGTTTTGTGTTTTTTGAGTTGACCTTTCGATGAAGTTTAAGGTCTTTATTTTATCTGACCGACTCTGAATTATTCAGTGTATTGTCAGCCATTCTATGTGTCTGTCTATCCATCTAACTACAATATATCGATCTATCTATCATTCTCTCTCGCTCTATCTATCTATCTACCGGTCTTTTCGCTCTGCCTCTCTACCCTATACCACTAGACTTCTCTCTTTGGCTTAACTCTATTAGACCATGTATACACTTCACTAACCAACCAAATTCACTCTAAACTTCGTCCTTCACTAGACTTATCGATTAGTGTGAAGCGAAGTAATTTTAATCGACCAACCAAAGTTTAGCCTTAGAAAAGAAGACTAACTAACTAACTTAACTAAGCGCGCACACATACACACACACACACACTAATTCTCTCACTAACTAACTAGGCTAAGCTATTTAGCTATCTATTCAGCTAGCTAGCTAACTAGCTGGCTATCTGTCTATCTTTTAGTTAGAATTAACTAGCAATTTTGCCTTATTTTTTCAACCACTTTTTACCACTACTATTCTCATTTTTCAACTAGTCTATAGACGGATTAAACGCTGACGCCTTGTGGTGTATTCTCTGACTGATATACAGCCGAGTTTTTTTTTTTCAAAATTATTTGGAGGCTAACACAAGAAGAAAAAAAATAATCCCGTCTCCATACACAATCACAACAAGCGGGAGAATGTCACAATTCCAGCCTATTTCACTTGGTCAAACAGTTCAGATACCATCTCAACAACAACAACAGCAACAGCAACAACAAATTCTACAACAACAGCAAAATCAATGTCAACAGTATCAACTGGAACCGTGTGATATTAAACCACAATTCTCGTTAATACCAAATGTTTCACCGAATTTAACTAACAACAATAATAACATGAATATATCATCACAAAGTGGTATAGGTAACTTTGGTGCTTTAATGACAACATTAGATACCGTAGTCAGTGGGATGAATAACAATAATAACAACAATAACAATAACACAGGCGGTGGGCAAGCAGGACAATTCGCTACACCGATGAATCACACAGATGTCGCCTCACTTCTAATGAATCCAAGTAAACGTGCTGAAACATTTGTCATTGATGAAGTCAAAGTTATGTTAAAAGAGATCGAGGCAAGAAAGCATATCCTACTGTCATTATCACCGTCGACAAATCGTTTAAAACGTCGTGCATGGGAAGATGTAGCTATGTCTATGGCAGCTCGATGGCCTCATGCACCGAGAAGAACAGCTGATCAAGTAAGTCATGAAGTCACGTGATTTTTTGTGTGTGATTCTTTTAACTGCGAGTTGTGTAAGGTTTAGTGTTGTTAGTCATTCTAGTTGAGTAGGGAATACGGAAGAGGTATTCAAGTCGTTTCTTAGCTGTCCTTATCCATGTTTGAGTTATGATCGGCCATCAGATAGCTCTGAAGGTTACTGAGATGACCTTTGAAACTTCAAAGGTGATGAAAAAATGCCACATCATTTAGAGAACTATTGAAAAGCGATAAATAGTTCTGAGCAGCTATTTCGTCCCAGTTTGGAGCTCTTCACCAACAGTACGTAAGTACCCATAATCCCACTGCAGGAGATCGAACTCAGGACCTTCAGACGGTGGTTGAATACTCGATGAGCTTTCTTGGAAAGCAGAAGGCTCTGAGAGTTCAATCCTTGCAGGTAGGATTATGCATCCGTACTGTTGATGAAGAGTCCCAAACAAGGTTCGTGGGGAATTTTTAAACCAAATCTGAAATCTCTGGAAAACTAACATTTGACAATTATGTGAAAATAATAAAGCTTTAGACGGTGAGAGGAAATAGACACAGCCAGTCAAGTTATAAAAGACTGTATTGAAGGTCAAAATCAACAATGAAGATCAATAAATCAAGGAAGGAGATATCACAGTATCTCTATCCTCGTATCCAGACCAATCTTACCAAGGACAGTTTTAATGTAGTGACGTATGGTATTTTTTTGCACACGTAAAGGTGATTTATAGTTACTAATTGCTTGAACTTCCAAGCACATTCCGTAGATAGGTTGAAAAGAGGTGAAAACATCGATTATTTTTATATAGAATTTGATTTGTGGATGGTGACTAGCAGTGGAATCCAGGATAACACGCATTTCGTCTTATTTGGGACTCGTCTTCCAGCTGGATGTACCTGCATTCCCCAGCCAGTGAGTGATGATTTTCCCACCACCGTGGCTCGAACCCAGTGGCCATAGTTTCAAACGCCAAAGCTAGTCACCATCCACAAATTAAATTCTAATTGCATGCACAGACATCGTCGAAGCATCTGCACAAGAAGCCAACAGACATGTCAACCTGAGACCGAGCACTTCGGTTCAATCAATCAATCGACGGGAAAATTTAAAATTCGATTAAATTGATTATTTTTCCCTGTATGTGTAATTCACTTCGTAATGGAAGAACTGGGTCATGTGTGTTCACGATTATTAGGTTCAGGGGATTCGATTTGTTTATGAAGCCCTTACTTTCAATGGGTCAATTAGTCCACCCTATATATGTGTAGCAGGTAAATGGACGTAAATGGAAGTTGATAGATACTGTGGGATGGGACATCATTTCCAATTCATTTCAATTTTTTTTCTCTGCATAATTGTTGGGCAATATCTTCTTGGTTGTTGCCGGTCAGAGTTCCATGTTGTTCATCTTTTCTGAACATCTGATCTCCAGCTGGGAGCCAGTGAAGGTAGCTTTTGATAGAAGTCTGAAGACTGTTCAAAATGCTAACTGAATAACCTTAGTAAAATGAAGAATTAAAGAGGATTTGTGCGAGACTCATGAGTTTCAGATCAATATTACTTTGTAAATTTGTGAGAAGCACTGAAGAAACAGTTCCACCCAATCTTTTAAAAGACAACTAGACACTAGTAACTCATTTTAATCCTTTTTGAAGCGGGATTGAGGAGTCTGTTGAAATCGAATGAGTAACTTTTCTTTTGAAACGCCATTCATTTTATCATATAGCATAACCGTTACTAGGGAATAGTCATGTAGACTTAGAATATGCGAATGACATAGTCCTCCCTCCAAGATGAAGGTGGTGGTAAAATGTAGAGTATTCTTCATACCTTGAGCAGGAATCTTGGAATATCTGGCATGTGGTTCACTCCTGTCAAATGTAAGATGACGCTACCGAACTGAAATACATCGACTCCTAGCTTAAAAAGTAGCTTTCACCCTGTCCCACCAACCCTATTTTGTGATTACATGCAAGTGAATGCAATGCAATGTTGGGTGTTTTTCCTGGGTTAATTAACTTACCAGGGTTAATCATTCTAGGTCCAGCAACTAGTTTGACCTATGTAATTGAACTCACGAACAGTCATTACATGGTATTTGGTAAATTATATGCCTTTTTTTTTGTATTTGGATCTATCGAGACCTCAAACCGATCAACTTTGTTATAATAAAGGTTTTTGTATTTCCCAATGAATGAAAAACAAAACAAAATTGTTTTTACTGACGTTTCGCTATTTAATGCTAATAGCTTTATCAAAGTATTATTAAACCAGAATTCACAAAATCTCAGCATATATATATACATATATATAACAAAGAGTTAAGAGGTGAGAAATTAGACTACTTAGGTCAAGTTAAAAGGACACATTGAAAGTCAAAATAACATTGAAGATCACTAAACCAAATAACAAAGGTAATAGTACGTCTGTTATGATATCAAAATAAAGTTTACTAACTTCATCATCGTTCGTCTGTCTGGGGTCATTTTTCGTTGTCAGGTTGGTCAATTGGAAAAGATAACAAAATCAAGTGTGGAGTGTTGGATTTGATCGGTATGTAAAATTATAAAAGTAGTGTGTGTTTACATAGTGAATTTGCTTATCACATTCGTGTTGATTTTGTCTCTTAATGGGGGAGGGAGTTGTTGTAACCAGGTCAGATTCTGTTTTAGTCCATCATTCCTATTCAAGCAATTTTGATTCCACTTGATATGAAGTGCTTCTGATGACATAAGACGTTCTTTGTGATTTCTGAAGTTTTTCAGGATTATTTCAATATTGTCAAAATCAATTTTGTGGCCTGATTCTATAGCGTAGCGTGTAGACCTATGGCTGATGATTTTTCTAGTCCAACCGGATTTCTCGGTAGTCAAACAGAAGCTCTACGGTGTTCATTTCTTCTGATTTTGATTTCGCTCTGGAGATGTTTGTCCGATGTATATCGCATCACATTGCGAGCGAGCATTTTATTTTATAGACACAATTAGATAGAGAATCTTTAAGGATTTGGTCTTTTATATGGACAAGGTTGCTTTCAAGCGTGTCTGAATTTTTGAAGAAATCTCTAATGTCGAGCTGATTGAGTACTCTCCTGATTTCGCCTGACGTCTCTGCTCTATATGGAATGACGACTGTTGATGTCCATGTTTTCGGAATGCGTTTTCGGCCATACTTCATGTCTGTATTGATTTTGTTGATGAAGTACCTTGTGTAGTTGTTTTGCTTGAGGAGAGTTTTAGTAATGTTTGCTTTTTCTTCTTCTTTTTCTTTCTCATCCGTTATCAGAGAGTGTGCTCGTCTAAGAAGACTTGAAACAACTGAAATCTTTGCACTGATGGGGTGTGACGATTTGAAGTCTAAATATTTATTGGAGTGGGTTTTCTTCCTGAATATGGATATACTAAAATGTCCGTTTTCCCTCCTCTTAACTAGGCAGTCCAGAAATGGTAGTTCACCGACGTCTGATTCTGCTTCCGAAGTAAACTGGATTCTGGGAGATACACAGTTTATTTTCTCCAGGAATGAATTGTGTAGATCTCGTTTTAGTACTACAAAAGTATCATCTACATATCTTAACCATATTTTAGGAGTGAGTATGCTTGAAAAGATGTTATCTTCGAATCTATTCATGAAAAGGTCAGCGACTATTGGGGAGACTGGTGAACCCATAGCAACACCATTTGTCTGTCTATATAAACTCTCTTTAAATGTAAAATAATTACTTTCTAGACAGAATTTCAAGCTCTTAATTATTTCACTGGTGTCCAGTGGACATCTTTTTGATAGTGTTGTATCTGATTCTAGTAGACTGGAGATGATATCAAGACTTTCGGTAATAGGGAGATACTAGTATATAATGAGTTAATATCATAGCTTACCATAATGTCTTCTTTATCAATTTCTCGGTGGTCTATTTGGAATTTGAAATCATATGAATTTCTTACAATATTTTGAGTGTCCTTTTGTAGTGGTTGTAGTTTCGAGAGTAAGTATTTAGAGAGGTTGTATGTCGGTGAGTTGGTGAAATCTATTACTGGTCTTAATGGAACTGTGGGTTTCTGTATCTTTGGTTGACCGTAGAATCTTGAAGGTACATAAGATTTTGGTGTTAGTTTAAACCAGAGAGAATTTCCAATCAACTTTGTCTCTGAGTGATTTGGTTGGTTGGCTAGTTGGTCGGTTGGTTTAAATGTCACTCTTATTCTGGCCTCATTGAAAATTCTACGTAACGCCTCTGACGTTCCTTCTTTATACCGGAGTACCACAGAGACTTTGAATTCTATATTATTTTTGTTATTGTTGTCATTCGCAATGCCAATCTTATTGTTTTTATGGTTCTTCATACATTTCTGAATAAATTCTTGTTGGTAGTTAGTTATTCACTATATATTATATTGTGGCGCGATTATATATTTTTTTAATTTTAAATTTTTATTATACCTTGTCTTCACACTGTATTTATGGTACAAGTATGGAATTTTCAGCATGCGATATCGGTAGGCCAAATTTTTAGGCCGACCATTGATATCAGGTGTGTGTCGGCAGGGAATCGAATCCCGTACCATGTGTATGGTCGGCGAGAGTCATAACCGCTGTTCCACCGACGCACAGGCATCTAACTAAACCTACACGTTTACCGATTCCGGATGGGATGAATTAAAGTCTAAGTATTTACTGGAGTGTGGTGTCGGTTTCTTCTTAATGCTAGTATCTCACCCACCATCTTGTTTTCGTTTTATTTTACAGTCTAGTATAGCTAACTCACCACATTCAGTTTTTCTAACTCAAAAGTGAATTGATTTTCTATCTAATACTGAATATTTACATGCATGAAGAACTTAGGAGGGGGGACATGTTCAGATTTCATTACAATGAAATCAATAATTAGTTTGTAAGGATTCTATTCGTTTCAAGTAAGACAACGGATTGATATCATCTAAGGAACCATTGAGAACCAGTGTGTACTGGACAGCTGTTCCGTCTCAGTT